AAAAAAAAGTGACGGTTGATATTTTGACACGAACTTATTTCGCCGCTTGTTACCTTTCGGAGCTCAGCAGCGGCGAAATCTCGATTTTAAAAAAACACTCAGCGCAAGACCGAAAACCTAACGGCTGAGCCTCGGAGCCTCCACCCCGTAAACGCTACGAACCGAGGGAATGGCGCGCCTTGAACGAGGTAGAATCCGCTATGAGCGGTATGATGAATGCATGCAGATCATGGCTCTGGCCCTGCTCTGCGCATTGGCCGGAGAGGAGGACTTGTTTCTCGTGATGACCATGTTTGGTCTTGTCAAACTGGAGGCCTACCAAGAGCTAGTAGCGCCTACAACCCTGCAGGGTGTGTACCCGATGTACAACATCTTCGACGCTATCGGAGGCTTCGACTTCAAGGAGCTTTTTAGGTTCGAGAAGCCTCATTTTCGCTTGCTGCTGCAAGAGCTCCAGAACAAATCCCCCAACACAGGCAGCCCTAAACCTCCCCTTCACGGGTGGGGCGCCCGACTGCTGTTATGTTGGCAATCACTCCTGTGCTTGTTTTCGGACCAACGTCGACCTGTTTTTTTCTCGAACCCTCGATGAACGCAACCGTCCCTGACGCGGATTGGCACCAGCAGGAGTGCGATGTGCTCCCGGGATTGTTTTTGCAGACGTGTGTGGGTGTGCGGCAGTGCTTTGCGAGCTGGTAGGCGGAGTTGATCGCTTTGTGGGGGCTTCGGGGGCACCTCGTGTCAAAAAAAAATTCGCCCCGAATTTTGACACGTCTTCCAGAAAAATCTGACCTGGAAATTTTGACCCGAAAGAGGCGGCGTAACCTCTCGGGTCAAAAAAACCGCTCGTGTCAAAATTTCAGGTCAAAAAAAGCACAGGTGGGAACCCTAGAATATCGCACAACAAATCCATCTCTATCTATAGAAATAAGTCTAAGATAGGTTAGCAATGAATCCATGTAGCGTGAGCGAAAGGCTACCTGTTTTATGTCAACGGTTTCCCAGGCAACATACAACGATAACTCCCCTGTGGGTAACAGGCTCAACAAGGCAGTTTGGTAGCCATGTTCTGTTGTATCTATCTGTATGTTATGTTGGGAAGTTGTAGACGGAAGATGTAGGGGAACTTGGTTTGTCGGGTGTTGTAATGTGGTTGCGGAGCAAGCGCGTCTCGGGGTGTGTATATTTTCATCAACTTATTTTTTGTGTGTGATGTATGGGGGCATGTCAATGTGCGGCGCGGGAGAACATTTTTAACTTGTGTAGACTAATGGCATGTCGTTCAATGTGAGAAGGGCACGAGAGAACATTCTCTCATCATTGCCTCCTGACGTGGCCGCCGATAGAGGTTTGCTTGCTTGTGGTCGGGTTTCATTACTGACATACATGTGGGTGTGTGTTACATGCAGTGGGTATGGTCGCCTCTCTCGCCCGTGTGTCGGCAGTAGGTTTAGCTACCTTTCCCAGTTAGTTGTAGGCAGCGCGGACCATAAGAAAAGGCCGACCATTTCATGCATCTACATCATTAGTCTATATGCTGTTGTTGTTAGGTTGTTGTTGTTGTTGTTGTTGTTGTTGTCTTCACATTAAAATTTTAAAATTTATTGTTTTTTCTTCCCGCGGCGTCGTATGTGCTGGGTTTTGAGACCACGAGCTCCCCATTTTTTGTGGACGATAGAGCTAATGTGAGAAACAACAACAACAACAACAACAACCCCATGTACAGGCGGAAAATTCTAGACGGTCATTACCCCACCCAGTAGACTATAGTCCAATTTATTGTAGGACTTTTCATCCCGTCACCGTTGTGGAAAGTTTCAACCGTGTGACTGTACTTACCGTTGGGGGTCGACGGTCGACGGTAGATTGCAATGAAGACAAGAACAACAAGCAGTGTCATAGTTTGTCGACCTCTCTAGATGCATAGTATGATATCATTGCTACAAACATCAAATCCACGTTTTTGCCATCAATTACCCCGCCGGGGTAACAGCCATGGCACAGAGAAATCGTTACACCGCTTGGCTTGGGCTGCATCATACTATTTATTATTTATGATATTGTTCCGACCCACCGTCAAGTCTGTGCATATATGTGATTCCCGGGCGTCTCCCGCTGCCGCCGTGAAAACCATTCACAAAGAAGGTCCGCGTGAACTCCATGGATACTCTGCTGGAGCACCCGGCCGGGCGTGTATTCTTGTAATGGCGGCGAAAGTTCTTTGCACGGACGTTGTACCGGGTAGTTGGTATTCGGGTTGTTGAAAGGTTGAAGCTACAGTACACCCGTAGCTCATGCTAATAAATTGAGAGCAGTGGTCTGGCCTCTGTCCCCCCCCCTCTCGGTCAGAACCAACCACCCGGAGCGAACCAAGCAGCCAAGAAAAGTGAGTCTTCCGACAAAGCGCTCACCCTCACGCCCCTATCAGTCACAAATTCACAGATATCCAGCAGTCCTACGGTGGTATAGTTAGACTACCTTGTCAGCGAATGTAAGCGCACCTTGTACGCACACAGCCGCGATACGGTGCTGTAACCCTATTTGGCTATTTGGCGAAGGAGAGATAGGGAGATAGGGAGAGAGAGAGAGAGAGAGAGAGAGAGAGAGAGAGAGAGAGAGAGAGAGAGAGANAGAGAGAGAGAGAGAGAGAGAGAGAGAGAGAGAGAGAGAGAGAGAGAGAGAGAGAGTAGCAAAGGGAGTTATTCGCCAAGAGGAGCCTCCCTCCTCTGTGGAACATGTTTGGTGCAGCTACGGACATGATGGCGAACCGGTAGCCCCGGTGGTCTAGTGGTATGCTCGTAATCCGCTGGTCGCAGAGGTCGTTAGTCCGAATCCCCATGGGGTGAAAAATTTACGAAATTTGCGGGTGAAAGCGAAATATTCCTAAAAAGAGCTCTCGTGAGTACCAAACTTCGACGTTATTAGCACCGTTGACGAGGGAAAGAGACGGCTGGGCCCTCCTCGCGATAAAAATAAAATTCAGCACGCACCGCAGGAGGAAGGTGGGGCGTGAAAAGAAATAAAAAGAAGAAAAAAGCCCTGGTGTTTTACCCCCTCCTGTGTGACCCTGGATGGTTGTAGTCGTACGAAAAAAACACTGAAAAGTGTACTCTATCTACATGCATACGCTGAAAAGTGTAGCACACGTCTCACCACGAAAAATGGGGGGACTGTCACCATAATAAATAGGACGAAAACACACACAATGTCTGGACCGTTTGCATATTCAACCATTCGCGGGACTTGCGTCTTCATTGAAAATCTCAGTAGAATTATTGTTGACCCCACCTTGCCTTCCCTGCACTGTGAAACCTATGATAGATATTGCCCTGGTTGATCTACAATAGTCTTCCCCTTGTTCTAATAAACCGCGAATCACGGGCTGGACGGTTGTTGTGTGACCCCCGAGCAGAACGACCCATGAGCGATACCATTGCGATCTAAAGGTATGTACGCGTCGAACCTGTTGTTGTTGTTGTTGTTGACTTCACATTAAACCGTATGTTTGTTGTTGTTGTCTTCACATTAAAAACCATCCCGGTCTCTCTATCCAGTACCTCCTTCTGCCAGTTGCTAAATGCCAAAATCTAGCAAAGACTCTCAGCCCGTGGTCACGAAAGTGCTAGAGC